CTGTTCCCCTGAGCTTCGGCCCTCCCCTGCATCTCCAGGTTCCTTCACCTGTTGCATCCTTTCACCTAGCCATTCAGTTGGCAAATCAAATTCAGTGCCACCAAGTCAACTCATGGTCTTCACCCCTCAAATCTTCCTTTCTGTGTTTCTTAGTTCTGTGAATGGCACCCACTATCTACCATTTCTCAAAGCCAATTACCTAACTAAAACACATATCAAGGGTTAGTCATCTCCGGGTACGCCATCTGAAAATGTGCATGCTTGTAAGGGGCAGTGAGGAAGACACTGTTCCTGTCCTCAAGGAGCTCACAGTCTAGCAGAGATGGCAGACATGCCAGCCCATGTGGACAGAGCACCAGGACCAGCCTGGTGGACTGGTACATGGCCAAGGCCGAGGAGGCAAGGTGGAAGGGCAATCATTTACTCTGTCTGGACAAGGCCTCTTTAAAGAGAGAGTGGCATCCCACATGAAGTAGGAGTTTCATAGCTGTTGAAGTTTGTGAACCCAACTTCCAGCGTTGGTCCAGGCTCTGTAGGATTTAGAGGTGCACCCTTCAAAGCACAGGTGTCGGTGATGGGCGAGAGGTTCCTTGCCAACTTCCTCAAGGTAAAGGATTACTGAAGAGACCAGGACATTTGTATTTGGCTCGCCAAGAAAGGAAAGAGCTCAGAAAGGAGGAAAAAGAAGAGCCAGTTTCTCTTCTGAATTGCTTCCCTCTTAGTCTGGAGCCCCCTATCCTGCTTCAGTTGAAGTATGAGGGCTTTTGTGTGTGCTTTTGATTTTTTAAACTACAGAGCTACTCAGAGATGTAGGAGCTGCTTGGGGCCAAATTTGTGGACCACTTCTGGCAACCTACTGACACCTTTGAAATGGGCATTTCCGTGAGTGCCCATTTTTTTTGAGTTTATTAACTCTAGAAGAAACTTTTGAGTTTAACAACTGTAGAAGAAAATGAATCTTCTTTTCTAGCTTTTCCAAGAGAAGCCTCTGGAGTACATGAAGACCAAGCCTCTCATTTTACAGATGAGGGCACTGAGACCCATTGACCCCTGGTGTCCCTTGCTTGGAGCAGCATGCAAGCAGTGATCAGACAATGCTGGGACTCAGAAGGCATCCCCCTCAGTCTCCCATCTAGATCAGCTTTTCAAGGCTGGGCAAGTGACTCTGCCTTGTCTGTGTGCTTGGCACTGCACCACTGGCTGGGGCTAGAGTCACCAATAGGATAGGACCTTCCTGTCCATTCCAGCCAGACAGCAAGCTGGGAAGTTAAAGAAACTAAAACCCGAGACAAAGTGTGGTAAGGTCTGAGAGAAAATCAGCATGGGTGATGTGTGCCTGGAAGGGGTAATCATTTCTTACAGGGGAAACTTCTGCACTTCTCTCTCTATAGGCCCCATATGGTGAACCCTTACCATTAACTCAGCGCAGGCTGAGCAAGAGACATATATGATCCTCATACCATTCCTGTAGAACATGGGCTGCTTTTGCTTTACAGAAGAGGAAACTGAGGCACAGAGTGGAGCAATGAATTTGGTGATTTACAGAGCTGAGGCTCAGACCTCCACCCCATTCCTCCTGGCTCAGGAGCTGTGTTCCAGGGCCCCCGGATAGTGGTAGCGCTGAAAGGACCTGGCCTCCTGCACTTCTTATCTTCATTCCAATTCCCTTTTTCTCAAGAAAATTCCCACTCATCCTCCCAGTTCACCCTTTTCTTTCTGTCTTTAAGTGGCTTCAAGTGACAAGGTGGCTGGCTCCTCTGTTTCTCTTTCCCTTTTATGCCTATTGCAAGATGCTGTAATAATCAAAGACCGCCAAGACTTTCTTTGAACTGGGTCTTTGTGGCCTTTTTGCAGTCTTCAGACCTCACCGTTTCTCAGTGGCAGTTCATCCCAGCAGCTTCTCCTTTCTCTGCCTGTGACTTCTGCCGCACTTGTGGGTGCTACCATACACTGCCGGTGGCGTTGGTCCCATGGTGACACAGCAGTTGGCAATATACACAAAGCTTTCAGCTCTACCCTACTGAAACAGGAAAAGTTCCCTTATCCCCCTCGCAGGGCGTGTGACAGGGGTGTGGCTCACTTCTTCGGTGCCCCGCTGCTCAAACCCCTCGGGGGAGCCTGCAGGACAAGTTGTGGGCAGCATTTTGGGCTCTGACCCTGTGGCAGCATCTAGGGTTGAGGGTTTACAGCTCTGGAAGCCCCAGTGGGTGTGTGATACAGGGTGCTCTTTCAGTTTTGCTGTCTGCAGGTGGCCTGTGTTAATCAACTAAATTAGACCCTCTGCCTTATTGCAAGGACAGAGGGCTTTCTGTATCCTAGGTTCTTGCCTCGGTGTATCAGAAAAATTGGATCACACATGGGCTTGGAGAATGGGTGCAAGATTTTATTGAGTGGAGCTAGCTCTCAGTGAGGTGGATAGGGGGGCCAGAAAGGGGATGGAGTGGGAAGGTGGTTTTCTCCTGGAGTCAGGCCATCCAGCAGCTGGGCTCGCCTCTGATTGCCGCCAGCTGAATTCCATTCCATGTCACCCTGCCGTCCATTGCCTGCCGGCGTCTGCTGGTACCTGTTGGTGTGCTCTTCCTCTCCTTTGCTCCTCTCAACGTCCAGCTGCCTGCGTCTGGGCCCACTAGGGTCTCGGGGTTTTTATAGGCACAGGATAGGGGTGTGGGGCGGGCCAGAGTGAACTTGGAAAATGCAACATTTGGGATCGAAAATAGGAGTGCCTGTCCTCATGTAGGTACATGGGCACAGGCCTGAGGGTGGAGCCCTTGCCAGGGACCCCAGCCTTCTTTACCCAGCAATTCCCTGTCCCCCTCCTGTTTCACTATCACAGGTGAGGCTCCCCATCTTGGAGTGCCTCTTCCTGGTTACACCATGTAGGTCGTGTCCCTACCAAGGGATCCTGCTTTCCTGTTCTCCATTGATTGGACACGGCTTGGACATTTGATCCTGGGTGGGGGTAAGGAATCTATTGGATGGCCATGGCTGTGCAATTCCTCATTGAAGAATTCGAGAGACTGTGGTTAGACTACTGTGCTCTGTTGTCTGGTAGGGCAGAGGTGACCTCCCCAAGATTGCAAATGTGGAAACAAGAGCCTTGAAAACTTACAAATCCTCTGAGAAGAAGGATGTGAAGCTCTGGACAAAGGGGACCCGAGAGAAGACCTGCAGCCCCAGAGAGGCAGAGGAGAGAGATATGGAGAATCTGTGACTGGCTTTCCAGTTTCTGTTCTCTGTTCTGTGATAGTCTACATTCTGCAGAAAATCAAGCCTTCTTTTGAGAATGCTAGTCTGGATGGTTTTCTGTTTTCTTTTTATACAATTGCACGAAGCCTCCCCAAGTCATCAAGTTTCCCTTGCTTGGCATATTATCCTAATACACGGAATCCTCTCTGTGTGCTAGTGGGATTGCGTATCCCAGATCCTAAGGCATTCATAGTCCTGGCAGGGACCTCTCTGCAGAGAGCTCCTTTGCCTACTGGCACCCAGTTTCATTCGAGAAACATCATCAGGTGATGGATCCGTTGCATGACCATTGCAAGCTGTGAAGAGGAGGCAGTGCAGTCTCAGATGGGATCTTCTTCCTGTTTCTACTTCCTTCTAGAAAGATGAGGCCTATGTGTAAGACTGCAGTTGGCAGGGGCCACCAGAGAATCTTCCACTTGAATGGCCAGCAATGCTTTCCCAAAGTTTGTGCTGCTGAGCAGGAGGAGGCCTGGTTTGCTGGGCAGAGAGGATGGTAAGAATAGGGACTAGTTGCAGATCCAGGAGCTGGGATCAAGAGGCTTCTGTGGGGGCTATTTCCAATCACTGGGGAATGAACCTGGGGAGGGAGATGGCTTCCCAAATCAGGTACATTTGGGAATGTACATTTCTCATAAGAGGAGCTTGTAAGGCTTTGCCCCACGTTCAGGGGCAGCTGTAAAGGCCTCTTGGGTGACAGCCTCATTGTGACTGATGGCTGCATGTGGGGAGAGAAGGGGAGACTAGCCTTGGCATCCAGGCTGTGGAAGGGGGAGGAGAGAGCTGTTTCTGGAATTGGAGTGAGGAGGATAGAGGAAGAAAGCCCTACGGTTTGGAGGGCCTAGGGCTCCTTGAAAAGGACTTCTAAGCCAGCCCCAGCAGGGACTTGTGGAGTAGGATTAGAGAACACGTATCTGTCCTGGTGAGGAGGGCAGAAGCCTGAAGCTTCTTGGAGGCTTAGAGGGAGCACAGCAAGAGGAATCCTCAAATGACAGTGGAAGAACTGGGGACTGTAAGGCCAGAGAGGGCACGCAGGGGGCTGGGTCTTTGAACTTTCTCGTTCTAGTGTCAGGATTCTGAAATACAGTCAGGTTGGACTCACATCTTTATTACATGGGCCTAATTAAGAAAAAAGAAAAAGCAACAAAAGGAAATGGCAAAAAACATGTATGATCCTTAAGGATCTGTAATGCCTGCCCTGACACACACCTTTGAACCCTGGGCAGGAACCATCACTCATACGTTGGAATAACTTGGATCTGATATCTTCAAATTTTAGTCCAAGCAAAGCCATGAAAGCCTTTGCTTTTTAAAATGAGGCCAACTTTTCCCTAGTTCCATTTGAATTTACTCTTTAAGCCCTCTTTTCAGAGCTAGAAATAAATTTCTTGTAAATGTCTGCATAAACATGCCTGTCCCCATTTCAACAGGGCTCTGTAGTTGACAGTGCTTTAGTGGACTGGCTCCAACAAAACATGTGCAACTCAAACTTCATTTCATTCCAGTCCTTTGTGCAAAAACGTAATTGCCAGTTGTATGCTGTTTGTTTTGTATTCTCGGAAAATAAAAAGGGAACTAAAGGCAAGCTTTTCAAATATTTTTCACTGTTAAATCTAAATTCCCTATCTCTCTCTTTTAAAAAAAATCTATGTAAATACAGGGGGTGCAAGTGTAATTTTGTTACACTTGTAGATTGTGTAGTGGTGAAGTCAGGGCTTTTGGGATATGTATCACCCAAATAACATACATGGTGCCCATTAAGTAGAAATTCCCTCTTTATTGAAAATATTCTAATCAGCCAAAACCTTAAGACTTGAGTATACACATTTGTGTAGCTCATAACAAATAGTAAAGACATTTAGGAAAGGAATCATAATTCCTAAAACCTCACTCCCTTCCCTCTGGATGGCAATTTCTTTGAAGTATCTACTAACTCTATGAGGGAGAATATTACCACCTGGCTTGGGCTGACCCCTACCACATGGATAGATTTTCTGTGCCTGCCTCTTCACAATGAGATTTGTGAACTCCTTGAGGGCAGGGACTGTTCACAGACCCACTTCTCATCTCTGTATCTGGCCCATAATGAGTACTCAGTAGATGTTGGTGGAGTGAAACTGCTTTGTAAGTCCTGCAAGTTTTAGGTTTGAAGCTCTGATTGCTTGCTTCAGAGCAGAGAAATTTTAAATTATGATGTTCTGATGTGAAGAACAGCATTTGGCCCTGGCCATCAGGCACGCCACTGACAAACCTCCACAGTGGAAGAAACGCCCATGGAAGGAGGCCAGGCTGAGCTCCCACAGGGAAGCAATGTCAGAGTCTGGGAGTTGGAATAGAGGGGAACCCAGAGATCATCCAGCACTACTACCCCTTCAAATCCTCTAATTTACCTTGAAGGAAAAGAGTTTCTGTGATTTTCATATATACTTTTTTTTTTTTCCCCTGAAGATACTCTGGCAAAAATAAAACCTTGAATATAACCTGGAGCTTTTTGTACCCTACGACCCAAAAATGACTCAGAGAAAGACCCCAGCTGGAGAATTCCTTCTTTCTCACACTCTTTCTGGTCCACGTATGGCTTCATTGCCTCCCTTACTTCAGAGAATGAAGAGAGAAATGGGATTTCTGTGTATGTGTCATCAGGCCCTTAGGGGACCAGTAGATTCCTTCCTTTAGCTTCTCTGCAGATCAAACCAGTCCTTAGAGACCCGAAATAGAGCTCTTTGGAGAAAGCAGCAGGGGCTCCTTCCTGGAAGTGCCCCATGGGATCCTCACTGGAAAGAACCCAGAGTGCAAAGGCTGCGAGCCGTGCCCCTCCCGGGGCAGGCTGGGAGGCCTCAAACTGAGTGCTGATTGGCTGCTCACACCAGCAGCGGCTTCTGCTGCTTACTTTGAGGCCTTCTGGAAATTTGCTTGGAAACACTTCTGTAAAGCTCTCCTTCCCAGGGGCAGAAGGAAGGCTCTCACTGTGGAGTGTTATGTGCTGAGATGTTACAGGTGAGACACTCAACATCAGACCACAGTGGCTCAGGCTTGACAAAAGGACCAACACATCATCAAAGTCAAGTTCATAGGAAAAGATTCAGAGGGCCCTCCCATCCCATAATATTTTGCTCTGGAAAGTGCAGGTCACGAATGATGGAGCAGGGGTTGGGTGCATCAGCCTAGGGGGTTTGAACTCATCCAAAAAGGGTAACTTCCGCGCCATTTCATTCTGCCTCTAAATCTTCCCCATACCACATACCTTCCTGCCCCACCTGCAGTTGCCAAATAGCAGCTCCATCAACGACCTGGTTTGTGGGATGCCCTGGACCTGGAGATCGTTTCAGAGTTGGGTGGTCAGGGACCCATGATGGGCCCAGAAAGACAGTACAGAGCAGGACTAGTCTGCAGAGTGGGGCTGACTTCCTGGGAGAGTAGAGGCTGGCAGGGCCTCTGGGGAGGGGCGGTGATGTTGGCATTAGAGCAAATCATGCCAGTGGATCAGCTCCGGGAAGGATGAATGAGGCCTTGTTTGTGCGCCTGCAATATCAAAGCCAAGGGTGGAGAAGTTCTTTTTGATTCCCATCACCCTTAAGGCAGAAAGGGACCACTGATAAACCACAAGCACTCTTCACACAATCTCTTAAGGTTTGGCTGTGTCCCCACCCACATCTCATCTTGAATTGTAATCTCCGTGTATTGCGGGAGGGATCCGGTGGGAGGTAATTAAGGGGGCTGTTTCCCCCATACTGTTCTTGTGATAATGGGTGAGTTCTCGTAAGATCTGATGGTTTTATAAGCATCTGACATTTCCCCTGCTGGCACTCATTCTCTCTCCTGCTGTCCTGTGAAGAGGTCCTTCTGCCATGATTGTTAAGTTTCTTGAGGCCCACCCCCACCGGCCCCAGCCATGCGGAACTGTGAGTCAATTAAACCTCCTTTCTTTATAAATTACCCAGTCTCGGGTATTTCTTCATAGCAGTGTGAGAAGGGACTAATACACCATCCCTCTGCCAGAACATTTCTGGAAGGGAAATAAAGATATTTATGTGTTCAATTTTACAATTATATAGTTTGTGCACACAAACACACACACATACATATACCCAGGATAAGGTTCTCATACTTTTCAAAATTTAAAATGGTACCTAGTCTGTAGCATATGCTTAGAAAACATGTGCTTGATTTACTAAACTAAGCCCAGGGAAGGTTTTAACAATTGATAGTGGTAAGTAAGTACCCTTGCCCCTTACTAATTGCATACTTTCCCTACTTGTTTGAAAAGCAGTTTGAATTATCTAAAGCCCCTTTGTGAATTCCCAAAACTGGGCATGGTGTTTGGTTATTTGTGGCTGATAATGTGAGGAGTTAAAAAGGTTTGCCTAGAGCGTCTGTGGGGTTTCTTTCAATATGACATGTAGAAGAATGTAGCATTTAGATGTGAGAAATTACTCAAAACAGACTCCATTTCATAACTAAAATGCTTGTGGTGCCCTGGGTTGCACACACACACACACACACACACAGGTTTTGAAAGAAGAGTGGGAAGGAAGAAGAAAGTTAAGAATAGCTTTTAAGAAGGCACGGGTGACTCCGGACAGGAAGTGCTGCTGTTGTGATGCCCCTGGAAATGCTGTCCTGCCAACACTGAGGGTCTTTTGGGCCAGTGGGTCTCATGGGGTCCTCTGCCTGGCAGGGGGAAGGTGGGCAAAGGCTGGTGCCCAGGTCTATGCAGGTTACTGTGCTAGCCAGCCTTTGTTTTGGGGACAGGGGCAGCGCCAGCCCCACCCAGGAGCAGGATCCAACCTTCTGTTTCTTTCCCCCGTGCAGGCTTCTCCCTGCCCATTCTCTTCTCAGCAGAGCACTTGCATGGACCCTGGGTTCAGCCTCCATTCACCCTTCAATCTTGTAAATGACAAGGAAGAGAGAAGAGGTGAGTGGAAATGAGATGCAGAGAGGACAGCTATGGAGAGGGATGTGGGCTCAGTCCTGTGCACACCCAGCCTGTCCTCCCTGAGGCTCTGCTGGGAGCAAAACCTCCCTACACAGCAAAGCAGCCAGACTCCTGGAAGTCTCCACAGAGCGTGGTTGCAGGTGGAGAGGGGCCCCTCAATCAGTTCAAGTTCTATGTATTTTAAAAGAAGGCAGAGAACATCATCACACTGCAGCAGCATCACAGCTGAGTCCAGCTCATTTTGGTCTCCCATCCAAGTACTAACCAGGCCCAACACTGCTTAGCTTCATGAGATCAGACGAGGGGTCACTATGAACCCTCTTAGAGGGACCCCACAAGAAGTTCCTGGGTTGAGAGGATCTATGACCTGGAAGCTTGATGCATGATTCATGGAGTCTTCATTTCCTTGGGATATTATTGCTTCTAGTGGGCGCGGGCTGGAGGAAGAGAGTTGAGTGTTAAGAGGGAAAGAAGTGCAACTGGGTGGATTTAGGTGAGGTTGTCAGAAGCTCTGAGGAGAGGGACAGTGATGTGCCTCATATTGGGCTGTGTGAGGCCAGGGGCCGAGGAACCACTGGAGAGCTTGTCATGGTGGAAGTTTGAGCCAGGCTTTCCTAAGATGCTCTGGCAGGTAACAGGGGTGAGAGGTATTTTTTGGGGGGTATCTGAGTAGACTGGTAAGTGGGAGCCAGCTGGGGAGACCCAGGGGTGGGAGCAGCTTGTTCACAAGCTGACATGTCTGCACTTCTTGGATTCTCTTTTCCAAACCATTGGTAATCCTCCCACCTCCCCTTTGAACCCATTTTGATATGGCTTGAATAGTGTTGTCATGTTCTGTTCTGCAGCCTGGAGTGGCTAGAGCATCAGTTCTGTGATATACCTGATAACTCTGCCTTCCAGATGCATTTCACCATCATTTTTTCAAGTTCTATAATGTACATGTGCATTAATTAGTATTGCATATCCAAAGACTCCTTGGGTGACTTTACATCATTATCATTTATTTCATGACCTCTCCAATTATTCTTCTATTTTTCCTTCTGTTATTTTGATAATTTCCTTGCTTTAAGTAAATCATTTCAGTCTGGAGACTGGTAAATTGTCTATTATTTAATATTCTTAGTTGCAGACTCAGAGTGGAACCCTGTTGATATATTATCCAACTATTTCATAAGCATACTGGCATGGATTTTGGGGAACTAATTTATCTTACTTTCATTTTCTTATCAAATAGTGGTTCTAAGCATTGTTATTTAGAGAGAAGCATGTTGTGAGACAAGCTAGAAAGTGGTTTCCAGTCTCTATTCTGTCTCTTTTTCCCTTTTGGCAAGCCATGTAATCATTGTAAGCCTTAGCTCTTCTATAAAAGGAGGTAATATTCATCTCTTTTACATCAATATGTAGATTTGGTTAGGATAATTATGTACACATACACATACAAACACAACAAAGCTCTGCTAATATCTGTCATTGGTGAAACCACAATTTAAGCTTTAGTAAGTTTCTGTGCCTGAGATGCCTGATATTTTTTTCTCTATAATTAATTCAGAGGGAAAAGAGTGCAGATTCTTCAACAGTGCCGGATTATAGCACACGATCCCCTAAGTGCATGGTCCTGCCTATGAATTCACATATGCTCATCTTTTTCTTCTGTATTTGGCCCCTGCTTTGGCCTTGCCATTGGCTGCTTGTGACTTTGCCTTCAGCATCAAGACCAGAACAATTCAACATCAACTTCAAAAATGAATACTGGACATGACCTCCAAGAGCATGCATGGTTTGGCTCATGCCTGCCCATTGGCCTGTTGGCTGTTGGCATCTCGAATATGCCACACTCCTTCTCAGCACTGAGCCATTGCTCATGCAGTTCCTTCTACCTAGAATGCCTTTGCCCTTACTCCTCATCCTCCCCATTTTCAGCTAGGTAATTACTCTTGTATGTCTTTCAGATTTCAGCTCCATTGTTCATAGAGAAGCCCTAAACTAGATCAGGGCTTTAAGTGCTCATAGTGCATGCACTGTCTCTTCATAACACCTGTCACAGATAAGTATTCTAGGATTATCTGCAGTTCTCATTGGATATGAGCTGTCTTTCTTGCTATTATATTCCTAACATCCAGCTCACAGGTGTTCAATAAGTATTTGTTGAATGAATGAGTGAATGAGTGCGTTTAGTTTTTGAAACTTGTTCTAGTTTGTGCCTATTGGCGCAGCTAGCACCAGGACTTTTTGTTGTCCTAATACCCAATGAACACTCTTTGCAGAGCATCAGCTCATTCCAGAGACAGAGACAGCTATGACTCCTGCCCCGTGAGCCAGAGAGCCTGTTCACTCGGTGGCTGGGAAAGTGACTGGGCTGCTCTTCTCCAGGCTGGATGACCCCCAAAAGACCCACAGTGTGATTAGTTTGCCTTCTGGTTCCTTGGTCCCTTTGGGTTCTTAGCCCCTTGGGTGCCCTGAGCCTTCATCTTTTCTTTCATATCTTTAGCAGGCCCCTGTGCCCCACATCCCTTTTCTTCTCTTTCCCCAGCAGCCTTGCCCGGCCCTGTCTCCCTCTCCAAGCCCCTCTTTCCAGTGTATCTGTACCCTTCTCTAGACTGTGAATCCTGCCCTGCCCTGAACCTTTCCTCAACTGTTGGCTTCAACTGCCATCAGAATGTTCCACCCTCAAAATTCTTAGGGGTTGGTGCCCTGGTTCTGTGGCTGGGTGGACTACAAGGCCCCGAGGACTGGGTTCAGCCTTTACTTCTCAGTGGTCTCAACCTTCAGCACCCAGTAACCACACAGCAATTCATGGCAACTTGATTTTCCCGCCTAATTCTTAACCAAGTTTCCAAGGCCATCGTGGTCACTTGTGTGACCCCTCTGCTGCAGCTTCACAATTTCACCACACTCACCTGCTTTGGTTGAGGAGAAACTTCTGTGGATACATTGGCAGGCTTAGCTGAGAAAAGTTGGGGACCACAGGACTTCCTGCTACCTTACTTGGCTCAACCCCCTAGGACACTCCTGACCCCAAGCTGCAGTTGTCCCCTGTCACCCTTAATATTGTAACCACCCCAAAGTAGCTCACACTCCAAGGCTGCAAATGCTTGTGTTCTTCTACTCTCAGGGCTGGGGCTAGGCCGTGGAGGAGGAGGAAAGGCCATTCTAGTGGCTGAAAGAGCCAGTGCCAAAGCACTGCTTATGATGGCTTCTTTGGGGGTTGCAGATATGTATAGCTGTAAGAAATATGAACTCATGCCCCCCAACAATGCCTCATGCTTAACCAGCTCTCTTTCTGAGCTCCTGTGTCTACTGGGAAAATTGAGGCTTCCTCTCTGATTTGATTGTGTCTTACTACAGGTGTTTAGTACTTGGGAGTGAGAGGCCCATCTAATCAGAGCTGGCCTTGGGCTCTGCAGCTTACCCTGGTCACTCTTGGTACTCCTGTAACAAGGCATACCTTATAGTTTTCTCATTCATCTATTCATTCAATCATTCAGTCATCCGGTCATTCATTTAACAGTTATTGAACACCTATATGCCAGAAATTATCTATGTACTGGGGATACAAAAAGTGTCAGGCAAACAGAAACAGACATTCACCCTCAGAGAGCTTCTGCCCTGATGAACTTTCTATATGAAGAGAGTAGGTTTTATAGAGCAATTGACTGGAGTAAGGTGTGTGAGATAATGGTGCAAGCTGAGGCCAGGAAAGGAGGCCAAGATTCTATGAGAACTTGCTATGAGAACTTGCAGACCAGATTCAAAATTTCAACTTTTATCCTAGAAGCCTTGGGAAGCCTTTGAAGGAAGGGTCTTAAGCAGAGGAGATACAGGATCACTTTTTTTTTCCTTTTAAGTGAGGGCACCTGCGCCATGTGGAACACAACTTAGAAGAAGGCAAGAGTGGAGATTGGTCAGAAGGCCAACTGGGAAAGGAAGAGCCTTGGTGGGGAGAAAGGGTTTGACACGTAACCCAGGTTGAGGAAAATTGACAGGCTGTGAGGTCAGGGATCTGCTCATTGTGAAAGCAAACACAGAGGGGGTTAACTGTAACTTGAGTTTGAGGCAGGTTGAGGTGGCTTTGTAAGAGGCAGGTAAGGCTAGGATAAGTGAGAAAAGTGAGGAATTGGAGCTCTGGAAAGTTAGTGACTGGTCAGGGCTGCAGGATGGCCATTCCGGAAGCAGGAGGGCTCCAAGGGAGTCTCCAAAGCCTGCTCATCCTGGTCTTTTCAGAGCTGCTCTGAGAATCCAAGAGGTCCAGAGAAAGGGGGCCGTGGGGACACACACAGGCTAAGAGAAGCTGGGAAGGGTCAGTGTGGACCACAAGTGAAGATGACCTCAGCAGACGGAGGCAGTCTGTCAGATCCCCTCCACCACCCCCTGGGCCAGTGTACCGCAGCTGGGGGCAGGCCAGCCCCCTCTATCACTAACTGTGGCTGCCATTTTGTGCCTGGCCATCCATCCCAGACAACCTTCAATTGGAATCTCTCCTAATGAAGCCCTACCACACAGAGGCAGTCAGCCCTGCAATGGTGTAGGTTCGAGGCCATGGCCACAGCAGGAGGCAGTGGCAGTAGAGGGTGGCAGTTAGGGGGCAGGAATCACTTGACTCTTAGAACCCCGTTGGGGTGTGGCTTCCTAAAGCTCTCCGAGGTAAGACATACATTGGGACAAATAAGTTTTCAGGGCCAGGCATGGTGGCTCACACCTATAATCCCAGCCACTTTGGGAGGCCTACGCAGGAGGATCACCTGAGGTCAGGAGTTTGAGACCATCCTGGCCAATATGGTAAAACCCCATCTCTACTAAAAAAAAATACAGAAACTAGTTGGGCTTAGTGGTGGGTGTCTGTAATCCCAGCTACTTGGGAGGCTGAGGCAGGAGAAATACTTGAACCTGGGAGGCAGAGGTTGCAGTGAGCCAAGATTGCTCCATTGCACTCCAGCCTGGGCAACAGGAGTGAAACTCCATCTCAAAAAAAGCAAAAGAAAATAAATAGGTTTTCAGCGGGAGACAGCAGGTGCATCGATGGCACCAGAGGAAGATGCCGTGACTCTGAAGGATCAATGTTGGAGTGGTTATCCCAAGGATGGGGCCAGTGCTGCACCTTTTGCCCTCAATTTCTCCATCAAAATTGCATGAGGCTTTTTTTTTTTTCTTTTGGAACTTGTAATGGTATTTCTACTATTTATTTGGAAGAATATATTTTGGATGAACAAGTGAAACTAGCCCAGAGAAAAGGAACAATAAGTAAAATAAATGGGCAAAAGCTTGTGCTGTTAGCTTTAAAGTGTATTTAAAATAAATCTGAAATCATTTGAACAGCATGAACCTTGGTGGCCAAATAGATCAATGACAAAGAGGAGAAAACCTAGATACAGGTTCATTTTTGCCTTATATGCTTTGAGATTAGTGTTTCTATTTAGAGCTGTGACTGATACAGATGCATCACAGTTGAGAGCAAAGCGAGGTGAATATCCCTATTAATTGGCACCATGGTGCGAGGCTAGAATGAGGGTGTGGCCAGCTAAGAGGGGATTTGCTCCTCTTGCCCTAGAAGTTCCCCATTGTTTCCTGTCCTGTCGTGTGTCCAGCTGCTTAGCAAGTTTCGTTTTGGTATTTAATGCTTTTTATAGCTGGAGCCCTGAGGTTCCTCAGAAATCTGCACATGTTTACTAGATGGTGCTCTGGATTTTCTTTAAAGATACGAAGAAAAAGGCGAGGGGCAGGTCTGTGAAGCTTCTTACCTCCAGCAGAGCTGGTGGAGTGAATGCGTGGCTCCAGCTGCACCCCCAGCTGATGAGAATGGCCTTCCATTTGCTGAGATTCTTCCCTTTTCTCTCCCTGCCTCCACCACCAATATGGGCATTCGTTCTGTAGACAGTAAATGTGAGCTTTCATCCTTGAGTATATTGAGACATGACTTTTCCTAATAAAGGTGGCATTCCAAATTAGTGTAAAGCATGCAGTAATTGATACAGAAATCACCTAGTCATTTTCCCCCCCAGTGTCTGCTTGGGGGCAGGTCAGGTACTGTTCTGGCTTCAAAAATTAACCATGTAAACAACAGAAAGTGAAGATTTTTTGTTCCCAGGGAACAGGGAGCTCTTAGTGAAGAAGAAACGCAGTAAGTGATGAGTCAACCAATAAACAGCTTGACAGGAAACTGGTGAAATGAAGAAAAATGAATCCAGCTAGGACAATAGACATGGATGGAGTTGGGTGGTAGTCAAGGAAGACTTCTTGGATAAGCTGGTATTTGGGCAGAGGCCTGAAGAAGTGTAAGCCATGCTAGGGGGGCATCTGGGTAAGAATGTTCCAGTAAGTGGGTACAGCAAGTGCAGAGATGCACCCTGTGGATTGACTCCTTGAAGTGAATCCTTTTTAATGCCTCCTTCTCTACATGGCAAGATTTTTGTTAGTGATTATGTAATAAATTATCTTCTTCATTGATTCTTTTTTTGATGAGTATAAACTTGACATTTTTAATTAAAGTTACTTACAATTGAATTAGCTAAAAAGTCTAGTGCATTTGAAACAAAATTGTTTATAATCTAGTTATGTTTACAGAATGAAAAGTAAAATTAAAGATAAAGACATTAATATTCTAAATTGGCTTTCCAAACTGTGTTCTAAAACTCAATACTCATAACACAAGGAGATGATAATAATGTACATTGGACAGCCCCTGTGGGTCTGGTGGTGGTGTTGATTGTTGGTGTTGGTTGTTGTTCCTTTTAAAATAAACTTCATCTCAGGGTGCTCTCAAAGCACATCTTTGTGGCCCGTGAGGTGCTCATGCACAATGGGAGAAAATCAAATGCAGATACACTGTGGTGCCAGAAGAGAAAGAGCTGTTCCTTCTTCCAAGGCTAATGTCCAAAGTAGTACACACTGATTTAGGTCTGGAATGTACAAAAAACTTTCAATAAAGGGAACCTATCCTTCTCATTGTGTTCAACATTGTCGTAAGGCATAAAGGCATCAAATAGCTAGCTACACTTTTTCTGGGATTGCTTATTTGCTAACTGATTTTTCCTTCCACCACGACATCTAAGATTAAAAGAGAAATTGATACTTAAAATTTAGAATCTGGATATCAATATTTAGTTGACTCCAATTTTCCTTCCTTCCTTCCTTCCTTCCTTCCTTCCTTCCTTCCTCTCTCTCTCTCTCTCTTTCTTCTCTCTCTCTCTTTTGAGGGAGCCTAGCTCTGTCGCCCAGGCTGGAGTGCAGTGGCACGATCTTGGCTCACTGCAAGCTCTGCCTCCCAGGTTCACGCCATTCTCCTGCCTCAGCCTCCCGAGTAGCTGGGACTACAGGTGCCCGCCACCATGCCCAGCTAATTGTTTTTTTTTTTTTAGTAGAGACGGGATTTCACCATGTTAGCCAGGATGGTCTGGATCTCCTGACCTCGTGATCCGCCCGTCTCGGCCTCCCAGAGTGCTGGGATTACAGGCTTGAGCCACTGTGCCCGGCCAGGAATAGAAATTTCTTACCGTTCTGGAGGCTGGGAAGTCCAAGATCACATGGTGGAGAGAGAGATCATCTCTCTCATGTCTCTTGTTATAAAGGTACTAATCTTATCCA